AACTTGAGTATTGTTACCAAATATGATTAGGATTTAGTAATTCTCTTTTTTTTTGTCGTTTTTTCTATTCATATTGTATGGAGAAACGAGACGAGTTTGAAGTTTGAGGCAAAGAAACACATATCAAACCTATTTTACCTTTCTCGTCCCTAAATGCGAATTACAAAAGATTGATTTTTCAATCAAACATTATTGACTTCTCTAATCAAAGTAAGACAAGACAAATCAATACAGTCAAGCACTATTAACTTCTAATCAAACCAACATAAGACAAATCAATGTAGTCAAGCTCAAATTATCATCCCTGCATAATTTTAGTTTCAAAATTTTGAATAAAAAAATGGAGAGATCAGTTTTTTTAAATAAAATGACAATTATCAGTTAAACTATCATTATATTGTACGATTGAAATGATTTTCTTAAACCTTATTGATCAATTTTAGGGTTTGTTTGGTATAAGAAAAATAGAAAAATAGAGGAGAAGACAAAGAAGTGATAATAGAGTTAAAAGCTTTTAATTAATTATTCTTATTCTTTTATATTACATCTAAATTTTTATAACTCCATTTCTTCAATTTTCTAATCGAACTTATTAAAATTTTACTTTTCCTCCCTTTTCTCCTCCAATTTACTCATATCAAACACAGTTTTTTAAACTGAAAACAAATGAATCAAACGATGTTTTTCCTACGGAGAGAAATTTATATATATAATGACAATAATATTATATGAAAGAGTAGTACAGATACATCATAATCATAAAACAATACATAAAGCAGACACCAACTTGTAAGAAGTTCACCAGATAAAACATAAGTTCCGTTTAGTACGAACTATTGAAAAATAAGATATAAGGATTGAAATTGTAATTAAAAAAAATCATTAAAATAGTATTTGCATGAGTAATTACTTATTACATGGGATGGATACTAATACTCATAAGATGGGATTGGAAATATCACTTTTTCATGGTATTCTCTAATCCCACATCCATGAGTTTGACACTAATTCCATATAATAAACAATTTCTTATATTAAACATTCTTTTAATATATTTTTTTAATTCTAATCTCAATCCCTACTCTAAATTTTAATGTTTTCTACCAAACGAGAGCATAGTGACTTCGGACACGACCACTGTAACTACCCTAATCATTGTACGATTGAAATGATTTTCTTAAAAAACCCATCCATCAATTTTGAGAGTTTTTTTTACTAAAAACAAATTAATCAAACGGAGTTTTTCTTATGTAATTACAGAAATGAGGTCTGAGGATGCCCTCCTTCAACATATTAAAGTTTCCATCAGATATATTCATTGAATATGCATATATCAATCCCTCCCAACTCCAAAGGATTCTTTGTTTTCCCAATAATGAGACTCCACAGGCTCCTCACATCAGTATTTATAACATAAAGATGATTCTCCTTCAATCCAAACAAAACAATATACGAGGTTAGTACTAAACTTACATATTAAATCTTATATGGTGAGATAAGAGAGACACAAGGCAGATGCAAAGAGAACCACTGAGAAAAACAAGTCCCATTGCACCACAAGCCAAACCCATAGTCTCTGCAATTTCAGACATCACAGCTTCTCTCTTGTGCGTATGCTCATAACTTTTCTTATAATTCCACCCTCTTGTTCTCCTCATCATCACCATCATCTCCTTCTTCTTCACTTTTTCCATTCTCTCTCTCTCAAAACCTCCATGTTTGCATCAACATATTTGCAGGCTCATCTGCAGATTCAACCCAAAAATCACCAGAAATAAGAAAAGTTATATATACAGAGAAACAGAAACAAGCTAAGCTAAGTCACCAAGTACTGAAGATTGATCTGATTTGTTAGAGATTGTGATTATTTACCATTGTCTCTGAACTTTTGGTCTCTCATTTTGGAGTAGTGGAAGAGCTTATGCCGTCAAAAAGCTTGGTTTAATCTGCAGAAAGGTGATGAGGGGAGCAAGCCATGAGCGGTATTTATAATCCCCAGTTCACTTGAAATATGAAAAGTTTATACATGTTGAATATATAATAGAGAAATAAGTACATCAAATCAATTTGAAAACATGTACGTTGAGCAAATTTGAAAGTAAATTATAATTTTAAAACGTACCACACACACTGTAGTACTTAATATAATTAAAGTTTGATGATGATACCGGAGCTAACAACAATTAATTAAGGGATAAAATTAACTTCCAACACATAAATTTTTATTATTCCGTTTATGATTTTTATGATTAACTTAATATGTTTCTTTCATAAGTGTAATTTACTTGAAGTATTTCAGACGGAAGATCAGCTAAATTTAAATGTGCATTATTATTTGAGAATAAAACAGTTTAAAAAATTTAAGAATGTGTTGAATGTATAATGATGAAAAATAAACTCTTTAACAATTATAGATTCCATTATAATTTTTTTTTTAACCATTATACATTCCATTATAATTGGCAACATGGGCTATATATTAGTTTATAGATTCAAGAAGGAAATAATGGTAATTTATGAGTTTCATCATCCCTCAGCTGTATGTGACATCATTTGATTCAGATTATAATATGAAACAAACAATGACAAGAGTCCACATGGGCCTATGATTTGTGATGTCTTTGATGAAGTATTTTAATTAATTATAAGAAAAGGAGCCCAAGTGTCCCATTGATGTCGATACACATGGCATCACTACTTGACTTTTTGGGAGGATTGAGATTCAGTCACAAATCGAAAGAGAAAGAGACACCTGGATGCTAGATGTGAGAATATCAAAGTACATATTTACAGATTTGGATCTTAAAATTTTGAGAGATTCTTAAAACCATCGAATTAATAATAATAACGGTTAATTGAAGTGATTTGGCACTAGTTTTTCTGAAATAAAAATTAGGACCGGAGGTAGTATGGTACTATATTCGTTTCTTGTGTGTAGAAAATGTTTTCTAACCAATTCAAACTAATCACAACTCTAGATTTGAAGCGCAGATATGAAAATATTTACGTCCAAATTTGTCCTGTCTGGTAAAAACTATAGTACACATAATATTTTACTTTGTCAGCGCGCTACTATAGCCACATAAACATATTTCAATGCATAGCCATTATGGTTATTAGATATTAATTTCTAAGATCTAGTGGTTAATTATTAAATGGATTATTAGTGGTAGAAGCCCCTTTCGTGATATTATGCTGGGAAGAAAGTAGAGACGGATACGATGATACTGCTACCTATCTATCTAAAACCATTATGGGTTATACATGGATTATTGTGATTTTATGATTTTGTTATTTTCATTGATTATTATGGGTTGCCACTAGAACCAATGGCGTGACATCAGTCTTCTAAAACCATTGTACTACCCTCTGCCTTTAATATAAGAACTGGTTGACTAATTTAAGTAAATTAAAAAATTAGTTAGTTAGTTATTAGTTAATAAAAATCTTTTCTTCTTTTTTTTCTTTAAAATATTCTCACTAATCAATGTACTCCTGCGGTCCTTAATAAAGACACATTTAACTAATTTGATTAGATTAAGGAAGTTAGTAAGTTAGTTAATTATAAGAATGTGACACGTTTTTTTCTAAAACAACATAATCATCTTTCTTAATATCCCCTCTCTCTCTCTTCTACTTCATTATGGTTGAGAGAGTATCCATAGGGGTAATTAGAGAAAATTGATAAATATGAGAAATGGATCTTATATTTAAAACCAAAACCAACTCAATAATTGAGTCCTATATTAAGGACCGGAAGAATATTAGCTAAAACTATTTAACATGTGTAACTACTACAAGAACCATCTTTAAAAAAATGATAAATATAAGACAAAGTAAATTAGTGTCTTATATTTAAAATCAAATTAAATGTCAAACCAACTCTTATATTAAGAACTAGATAGTCTATATAAAGACTAAAGAAGCATGAAGTTTTTCTTTTTGGAGGTATACCGTGAGGAGGGAGTATTGATGACAACCATACTTCTAGTTTTTACTAACTTTTAATATGATCTTTTTGTAATGTAAAATGTTTGGCATTTTAAATTTTAGTTGAATGGGTCATGTCCTTAGAATCATGGATGAGTTTTATCTCCTGGCCAATCTTTGTATAATCTTTATCTTCTCGATTTTGAGGAAAAAAATTGGTGAGGGAGGTAATACTTTTTATTGAAAAAAATAGCACACTAGCTAGTCAACAGTCAACAACTCACAATGCTTTCATTACTCTTTTTATTTTTTAAATAAATTACGTGAGTTGATAACTTGATATTGCATAAATTAAGTCGAAATCACAAAATTTTATTACTTATTTTTAAAGCTTAGTCACACATTCAATAATAAATTACACAAATCTCTCAAAAAAAACTTGTGTATTATAAAAAAATTGCGTATGTTTAATAAAATTTAGAGAAAGTTTATGCCATACGTTCTCTTTGATTTTAGAGTAAAATTGTGTGTTTTTAATAACGGTTAAAATATATGTTTAATCCTTTAGTTTTATATAAGATTTCAATTTGGTTATTTGACTTTAAAAATATACTTTCAATCCCTTAATTTTAAATTATTAACAAAAAATGATGATATCGAGACTTTAAGTATTGATAAAATATTTTCAAATGCTAATAGATTAAGTTTAATTTTCAAAATAACTATAATTGTTATAACAAATAATCATTTAAATTTAATAATTTTAGGGTTAGGCGACAAAAAATATACTTTTTAAAGTTAAGAGATCAATTAGAACATTTTAATAAATACAAGAAATAGTGTATAACTTATAGTAAAATTAAATAAATGTTTTATATTAATTTTAAAAATAAAAAATCTATAAGGCTTTCAATAGATTCATTGGAAATAAATATTTTTTTATTTACTCTTTTTTTAATAAATGAAAAACAAAAATTCAACCTAACAACCTTTCCTAACCACCTACATTACAAATATTTATCATTACACCAGAGTCTATCTAGTAGCTAAACAACTGGTTGATTGGTTCATCAATAATAAATTGGTTCTTCCTTTATAGTCTCCAACATGGGCTTCCTTGACCGGCAACGATTTACCCGATACTGAAACCCTAGGTCAACTACTCCGTCGAAGCTCAGCCTTGGAATTGTCTTCTCCACCGCCACTTCTTGCTGCGCCAACTGATCTCCACCACAACTCTCTGCCGCCGGCAGGGTCGTCCGGGCCCTCACCGCACGGCCACAGGTCAACCGCTTAACAGCCAGGCCTTCAGCCACGAAGATCACCGCCATGTCAGCGGCAGTAACGACCGTGTTGGCTCTTCTCATGTGGAACAAGACATAGAGGTTGCCAAGCTCCAAGTCATCATCGGCAGCGAGAGGAGAAAACCTATGAGCTATACGAAGAGAACGAGAATTGGCCAGGAAATGGTTGGGACATTCGAGCATGAGCTCTGCTACACTCACAGGTTCTCTGTACAGCTTAACTTCACCTGTGGGGAAGATGACTCTCGCAGCCTTTTGGGTGTTCTTCGTCATCAAAACTGGAACGAACACGAAAGTGCACGAGATGTAATTTCCCATTTAATTGTATATCAGGGAAGTATACCAGAAAAGTTAGGGTTTCTGAGCAAAAACGAAGAGATATTAATTTATAGATTCTTTGCGTTGTGCTGTGTGATGATAAAGGGGAAAGAATCAAAGAATGGAATTTTTGGGGTCGAATCTGGGACTGCTTTGCATGTGAGGTCTAGGAATATATATATGAAGGGAAAAGAATTAGACGGAGAGTGAGTGATTTAGAATGGAACAACACGTTCAAACATGTGTTGACTTCATCGTGGAATGCGAAAAGTTGTATTCAAAGTTGAATACAACTGGGGATGGAGAGACGTTGAATTTTCTTTGGACCTCATAATCGAAGCTTCCTCGTATACTGGCAAAGTTTGAAAATTCTACCAATCATACTCCGACAATTTTTAGTCCGACCCAGTAATGGTTCACTGTTACTATTACTACTAATACTTTTCCCATCCTTAATATAAGACACATTTAACTAATTTGATTATATTAAAAAAGCTAAATAAGTTAGTTAATCATAAAAAAAGTGACACATTTTTCCTAAAACATCATGATCATCTTTTTAGTACCCCTTTCCCTTTTCTACTTGATTGTAGTTGAAGGAGTATCCATAGAAGTAATTTAGAGAAAATTGATAAATATAATAAATGAGTTTTATATTTAGGATCAAAACTAACTCAAGAATTAGGTCCTATATTAAAGACCGGAAGAGTATTATGGTTTCGTTTTGGTTGCTGGCCTGGTTTCATTTGGTTTCATTATAAAATTTATTTTTTTTATATTCCTGATCTAGTGAAAGAAACTCACGCACCCAAACATACTCACAAAAGGTTGAACATGCAACCTTATACTTCTTTTGTCCTATTTATAAGACACAAGGAGAATTTTTTTGTCTTATTTATAAGTCACTTTATTAAATTTTTAGCGTGAATATACTATTTTGTCCTTCATTTATTATAATGGAGATAGTTATCTTTTTTGAAAGATGTATATATTAAATAAGAGTAAAGTTGAAAAGTTGTAATATTTTAATAAAAAACTAATGCATTTTAAAAATTTTCTTAATCTGTATGAAATATGCTGGAATGTGTTATAACTTATAAATAGGAATAGAGGATTACTTAAGACAGACTTAAAAGTGATCCTCATTAATGCTTATCATCACCGTGTAATATTACTCCATCCAATATCTGAGGCAGATGATGTAGATTTGCAACTTTTAATAATAATTTTATTTTTTTCAAAAAAAAATGTCAGTTATAAGGTTATTTTTATTTAAATTATGTAAATATTAAAATAAAAAATTGCTTAAAATATTAAAAAATTAAAAAGAATTTGAGCCATCAAAATTATGGATGATCTAAATTAAGATGAATACTTTATGCTCATCTATTTAATGAGCGTGGAATGTGCTCTAGACTTGCTTAGTATCAGTTTGGTTAATGAGCCCAACTATTACAAGGATTCATTAACTACTCCACACAGAGAACGAGAAATTTTGTTAAAATTAATTAATCTTTTACTGTTTTATTTTTGTTACCAAAACGATCTTCACTTACGGCACAGACTCTGTAAGATTAATTAGATAGTTAGATGATATCAAAGCAGAAAATATTTAGAAAATTTAATATTTAAATAAAAAATTTTATATTAAAAATTATGGGAAAGTCCCCTGTAATAAATTTGGGGAGAGTACATAGATTAACATATACTAGCCCCCATTTTCCATCTTTGCATACCTAGTTCAGTTTTCAGTTTTGCGTTGTACTCCTCCGGTCCTTATTATAAGACTCAATTTGACTTTTTATTTGGTCCTAATTATAAGACCCAATCCATTTTCTCTCTTATATTTATGCATTTTTTTCCAAGATAATCCTTCTAATAATGATAGTTTTAGCCAATATACTTAATTAGTAAGGATATTTTAGGAATAACAACACTTATTTATTATAAATAACCAACTTAACTTACTTTCTTAATCTCCTCAAATAAGTTAATTGGGTCTTATAATTAGGACCGGAGGAGTATATATTATTTCTACAAAGTAAAGAAAAAAGGGTTCATGAAATTCAAAAAACTAACGTGTTTTAAGTTACAATTTACAAGTGGTCCATGTAAATCAAGTTATTGGCCGAACCGCCCGTCTGGCTTGCAGTAGTTAAACGCGGACCGAGCCTTACGTTGAAGTACGACTTTTTTCTTGGCGTCAATATGTTGAAGCAAGACTTACTTTTTGGGCTGAGGCAGAAAAGTTTGAAAATTGTCTCGAAGCATATTATGGAACAAGAGAGAGAAGTCACTGTAAAATATTTTTTTTAAAAAAAATACCCCTCCAGTTGAAAATATAAGATCTTTATACTAGTATATAAAGATATTATATTTAGGATCGAAAGAGTAATTTGTAAATACCTGTAGTTGTCCTCCATTTTCAATTTGATACTTAATGTATTTTTTTCTTAATTAAAACACAGTAATTTTATTCTATTAGTACTGTTGAACTTTTGCATAGTGATCAACACTACTAGTAAATCAAAGTTATAGAAGCTAACGAAATTAACAGACTAAAGTTAAAACGTTTAATTAAGAAAAAAAATACAGTTACAAATTAAAAATTGAGAAAAACTACGCACATCTGCAAAATAATTCTTTCCAAAAAAATCTATATATCTATTGGCAATCACAACATATTTTGTGTAAATCTCATGCAGTCATTATCATAGCTTTAGTGAAAATGTTTAATATTACGTAGCATTTTGTAGCGTGGAGTATAAAATAAGACGGTGTAGCGGGTAGAAATATGCTCGTACCGTTATTCTCTTGTATTAATGCAGAGGATATTGAAACTTTTCATAGGTCATGACGAGATAATTAACTTATCAAAAATAAAACATATGGAAAATGCAGTAAAAAAAAGTAGCGTAAAAATATTAATATTGTTGTAAATATTACTACTTCCATTCCTTAATATAAAACCCTATTTGACTTTTATTTTAGTCCTAAATATAAGACCTTAATCTACTTTGTCTTTTATATTTATACTTTTTTTTTCCAAATTAACCTTCTAACAATGATAGTTCTGGTCAATACATTTAATTAGCAAAGATGTTTTAGGACAGACAACATCTATTTAGAATAAATAACTAACTCAACTTATTTTTTTAATTTCCTTAAATTAGTCAACTGGCTCTTATAATTAGGACGGAGGTAATATATACGAATGTCCATAAGCACCAACTCTTAGGATTCTTCATAGGATTCTTGATCTTTGAATGTTCTAAATTCATAAACCCTCAATGAATGACTTAAGAGGAGTTTTTCATGTTTATTGTCATTATTCCCTTTTTCATTTTTTTTAAAACCCTTGGATTAGACTTAAATGATTGGAGGCCTATACATAGAGGCTATGTACAGGAAATTTATACCTATATATGTGTATGAAAAATACTCCTTATTTTCTCTTCCAATTCTTGTCTTGTTATTTTCTTTCTACTCTCTAATTTTCTTATTTTTATAATACGTTATCAGTACGGATTTGCTCCGAGAATTTGAAATATAAGCTCCTTACACGAATATTGCTAGTTCCCCTTATCTGATTATCATACGCAGTTTAATTCTCTATACTTTTGCCACATTTTGCTGTTCTTTTCTTATATAAGTTTTTTTTATTTATGTTTATATATTTATATATCCTGTTTATTTATATACATACTGCAGGCTTCTATATATATACACTGTTCGGTGTATACATATATATGTATATAATTTATACTGCTTATAGTAATTATTCGGTTTACCTTGCTTACATTATTTATATATTTCTCCTTTGTTTATATTGTTTATTCCTCCTTTGTTTCCTTTATTTAATTTTTTTCTTATTTATTTATACGGTATCACATATATCGTTTCTTTATTTACATACGATTGTACAAGGTGATCTATGTAATAATGAGTTTATTTATTGTTTACATTTAATTATGAGTTTGTATTTATTTAATTTATTTCATTATAGTATTATTTTTGTTTCTATTTAAATTGTTGTATATAGATTTATATATGACACATGTGTATATTTATTTATGGCGTGCTGTAATATATATATATTGCTACAATTCCCTCTCCCCTTTTATATATATATATATATATATATATTATGTACATTGTCTCTGTATCTTTTATTTATATTTATTGTTGAAATTGTCTCTCTATATTTATTTAAGGGAAAATGACCAAAAAAATGACTGTTAAAATTTGAAATAACAAAATGGGCATGTAAATATATTAAATGACCAAATGAGCATAAGGTATTAATTTAGAATTTTGACAATTTGGTAAAAAGACTAAAATGTCCTGAACCTCTCTAAAGACATGAACAGGTGGTAACTTTTAATACGAAAGTTATAATTCACATTACACATATTGTTATTATCACTACCTGAGATAGTGAAATTGACTCCAAATACATGTTACTTGGGTTTGAAAGAAACAAGTTGTAAATGACAATAGCGAAATAGTAACTCTCATTGTGAAAGTTGTAATTCACATTACAAATATTATCATTATCATTATCAGGTAATGAAATTGGCTCCAAATACATGTTACTTGGGTTTGAAATAAACGAGTTGCAAATGGCAATAGCGAGATGGTAACTCTCATTACGAAAAGTTATAATTCACATTACAAATGTTGTCATTATTATTACCGGAGTAGTGAAATTGTCTCCAAAAGCGTGTCAGGGGCATTTTAGTCTTTCTACCGAATTGTCAAAATTTCAGATTGATACCTCATGCCCATTTGGTCATTTCATATATTCGCATGCCCATTTTTGTCATTTCAAATTTCAATAGTCATTTTCTCTTTATTTAATTGTTTTTATATCTTTGATTTATATTATCTTTCTCTTCTATTCATTTATGGATTTATATTGATGTATGTATAATGACACATATTTGAACAGAGAAAGAAAACATAAGTGCATTAAAAAAAAATAAAAGCATCATTCATTTATTTGATTAATGCTTTTCATATTAATCTTATATAGAATATATATATATATATATATATAGAGAATTGGCCTATTATGTTTTAGACTGCATATATGTGTGCTCAATCTAATTCTTATTATAATAGTTGCTTAATTAATTTAAATAAATAAATAATAAATATAACATTTTTTTTAAAACAACCATGTGTAACAACAGGATTAAATATCATTTTGTTAGTAAATTAGTTTGAACAAATGATAAATTTAAAATATAAAAGGGATTAAGGATGTTTCGTATTTTAAACTAGATCTAGTCATTAACTAATTTTTATACTAGAGATGGGATGAAGTGATATTTTTATACCAGAGTGAAATTATGTTTTCTAATAATTTTTCATATTTGATTTTTTTTTGCCTAAGGGGACATGTTTTACAAATTGTGTTAATTTGATAATTTCATAATTTCTGTTTATATTTAAGATAAATTAGGTTGAATTATTGTAATTTTGAATTGATTTATGTGTGTTTGAAATTTGTTAAAAAATAAGCCTCTTAATAAACCATAGGCCAGGCCAGGCTCAGGTCAAACAAAAAACCTTTCACAGATCACAGACCAGGCCCAGGCCAACAGGCCTCACCACAGGATGGGCCTATTAAAGGTGAGGCCTGGTCTGACCTGATCTGTTTCCACTCTTATAAGTGACTCACTAGATAATGAAGTTTACGTTAGAATTTTTGAAAAATTTAAAATGTCAAAAGCATATATATAGAAGAAAATTATTTAATATTTGAAATATTATGTTGATTAAGATAATTTGAGTATACATATTCAACTCAGAAAAATATATTAAAAAATAAATAATTTCGTATTTTACTTGACCCTTAGATCAAGTTATTGAAATCATTACTGATTGCACAATAATTGATTTTTATCATGATAATTTTGTCCGGAAAATATATTCAACTAAATAGACTAGAAATCCTATATATTTATTCCACAATAATATTTATATATATTGTCAATATTACATGTTATAATTTTGTTGGTGAAGTTAAGTTTTTGCATGTATACATATGAATAACGAAATTGAGATTGGATATGATAGCTTTATAAAACTATTATATGATATTATTTTGTTCAAATTAAATTAATTACGTCAATATAAGATATATTATGATGTTTTTTAGAATAACCTTTCTTTGCATTTTCTCAGTGCAAGTAAAGAATATATTGATAATTTCACCTATCTAAAAGATATGTTAAAGGAAAGCATTTCAATATAATTTGATGGCAACGTATTATGCATAGTTCAGCTAAAAAGAAGATATGTTTGAAAAAGTATTGAACGGCTTGAGAAATTAGTATACTCTATTGTGACAAAATGATAAAGAGTGACGCTGTTGATAGGAGAGTAAAAGTGATATCATCATTAGGGAGAGTAAAGATCATGTTGTATTCTTTTTCCTTAGCTAATGTTTTGTCCCATAGGATTTTTCCTTGCAAGGATTTTAACAAGGTTGCTCCAATATATATTGTATATTTTTTTTTCTTCACTAGGTTTTTGTCTCAATAGATTTTTCCTAGTAAGGTTTTAATGAGACATAATATTTGTTATGAACATCCAAGGAGGAGCATCTTATAAATATTATATATATGTGGATGTTTATAGCCCTCAATTCTTAGGATTCTTTCTAAAAAATTTTGATCTTTGAATATCTTAAACCCATAACCCTTAATAAATGACTTGAAAGGAGTTTCTCATGTTTATTGTTATTATTCCTTTTCTCTTTTTTTTGTTGTTGTAAACTTTGGATTAGACTTTAATGGTTTAAGGCTTATAAATAGAGGCTATGTACAAAGCATTTGTATTTATATCAGGATATAAGAAATACTTCTTATTTTCTCTTCCAATTCTTATCTTTTTATTCTCTAACTTTCTCATTTTTATAACAAATATAAGTTTAAAATACTGTGTTACCAAATTTTTAAAAAAATATTAAATCTGTAATAACCTATATACTATTCATCATCCCTAAATAGTATGGCTTATTAAATTTATGGTTTTTAATAGCTTTTTGATATATAGTATTAATTATTCTCTTCAAATCCTAACATAGGAATTTTTAACTAATTTATTAAGATTAAAAAATTACTTAAAAATTATTTATAATTAACGCGTTAAATATTTGTTCTACTTTTTCACAATTATCCCTCATATTGTCGACAGATTTGTAAGATTACAAGCATTTTCTTGAAATATTCTTGTAATTATCCTAAGATTAGGCGAGATGCTCTCGCTCTAATAACGACCCGGGGGTCTTGCTTTTAAGTGAAAACTAGCCTTTTCACTCTGAGATTCCTTGACTTCTTCAACAGTGTCTTTCGCCATAGTAACTGAGATGAGCAGCCCATCTGCGGAACACTCCTTAACGAAAGCTGCGAAATTAGTTGAAGATCTTTACCACATACGGGACACCTATTTTCCGGAAAATCAAGATGACAAAATCTCCAAACTGCGAGAACAATCCGATTTTGCTCTGAAATTCCTCGATTCTATTCCTCAGGTGAATTTTCTTTTTCATATTCTTGATTCTTGATGCTATCCTCCTGATAAATTTTGACCTATTCGTATAAACTTGTATCTTTTTATGCTACTTCCCCAGTTCGTTTTTTCGGAAAACCGAGCCTGCGGGTATATTGATTTGAGAAAACTGAACATAAAGTGAGAGTTCACGAATAAGATTCGGTGGTGCAGTTTGCAATTCTCTTTTACTTGTTCAAACTTCAAATATTGCGTTGAAGATGCTTGTTCTTGCTTATTGAACAACCAATGAAGCTAGGGTAGAACTTCAATGAATGAGAGAACTATTTCATTCACTCTGTTACAGGGATTGGAAATTTTGGTTTTTAAGAGTTCCCGAATGCCTGTTGTTATGATTGAAACGTCCACAGGGTGCATTTGAAGACTTGATATACGATACTGCAGTACCAATATGAATGACTTGAAATGTGAAACTTTGTTATGGACAAAAGGATGAGAAACAGTGAAAAGGTGTCCTGATTTTTTGTTTCTCATGAGCTGGACAGAGGGATAAAAGAAGGGAAATAATAGTGTTAACTAACTCAAATGGGTTGTCATGAGTGGGAGAGAGAGAGAGAGAGAGAGAGAGAGAGAGAGAGAGAGAGAGAGAGAGAGAGACTGTTAGCAGAGAATATATTGTGGACTGAGGGGTCAGTGTGAGGAAAGGGCGTATTTGGCTTAGTGGGATTCTCTGACCTATCAAATACCAGAAGAACGACTTGTTCTTTCTTGCTATTTTCGTTTTCTTTGCTTGCGGTAGATGCTGCTGCTTCTACCATCCAATTGTCCATTTTCTTCTGTGGGCAATGATATATTGATATTACGGCTTTGTTCCACAAGTAATATATGATTTGATCTGGGTTTCGACAACTAGGCATCTAAAATTCCTAAAATTGTCTTCTTTTCCAGAAGAAAGGAAGTTGCCTATGCAACGTGCAACATTTGAGTATTTGAGAGGGAAGACATTGGATGTATGTCCTGACTATAACAAAGAAGCAGAGGATCATCTATCAAAAGCTGTAAGCACAAGCAAGTTGTTAGTTTCTGTGTCTAAGTGTATCCGTCTTGCAATTGATTTTGATTGGCATGATTTATGTCTAACTTTTCTATTTTTATGCATCAGGTTAAGCTAAACCCATCTCTTGCAGACGCTTGGCTATGTTTAGGTAATTGCATTTGGAAGAAAGGAGATCTATCTGCTGCTAAAAACTGCCTTAGTCTTGCATTAAGCAAGGTTAGTGCTGACATTAGATTCCCTATAATTGACCGCTATTGAAGATGTTGATATACTTGCAGAGCTTAGTTGCATTTTTAATCCTCTTGAAGGCTCTATTTGTTGAATAACAACCATGAGCCTTACCCTAACTAATCTGATTCATATAACAGAATGACTTTGTTTGCTTTGAAGGGCTTCATATTGATTAATTGTATCTGTGAGTAAAAAAAATTCATAATCTGGTCATGGGAACACAGACAAACAAAGAAATGGGAGAGATAATAGTTTTCTGATGTGTACTAGATTCTTCATTGCTGCTTGAGTATGAAAGCAAAAATCAAGGTTTTTCTGATGTGAGGATGGCAAAATTATATTCACCTGTGCCATCTGTGTGCTTCACTATGCTGTGTTTAGTTGATATGGAATGCTCGGATTTTCTTGGATAATCCTTTGTAGTAAAATCTTTTTATGACATAGGGTTGTTTATAAGGGTTCTCTTTGGCATTCAGTGGAACATGTATTTTTCTATGGGGTCAGGTTTGTTCATTAGACATGCAGAAAAATTGGAGAGGAATATTGTATTGATGATCTTGTTTTCTTTATTATTTTTCTTTTGTATTCCTTATCCTCTCCGTTTAATCAAATTTCTTGTCATATCAGATAGAATAACCTGAAACCTTTTCCCGTGAAAAGTAGGCAATAAAAAGAGGGAGGGAAATGTTAACTGATTGAGAGAATGTCTTGATGTGATAGTTTTTCTTCTTGATTTTGTGGAATATTGAATTAACTGTAGAGAATATATGGTGATGGGAAGAAATTTACTGTAATGACTGGAAATTTCAAAGATTTGAAATAGACACTGTGCAGATATATTAAAAGCCATAACTATTCTATTCTAAGTGTCAGTTTTGCTCTGCACTGGCTCTGTTTTTGAATTGATTGACATTATGATATGTATTGGTTGTTTTTTTCAGGGTCCTAACAAGAATATTCTTTGTCAATTATCAATGCTTAAAAGAAAAATGTCACAAGGTAAAGGATTCCATTGTAATTTTTATCATATTAAATAACTCTTACTTTTTTTTTTTTTAATAACTTGTGCTAATTTCCTTGGGAATTGTTTATTTTTTTCCAGCAATTCTAAAGAGTGCTTGTGGTTGTGGACTAGTTACTCCAGTTTGTTGCATGATTCATGTACAATTTTGATTTCTACAAATATGTTCCTCTACAGGTGCTGAGAATCAGGCAGAACTTGTTGAGGAAAGCATTCAACATGCGAAGGAAGCTATCACTTTAGATGTCAAGGATGGTTACTCTTGGTGTAAGATTCTGTAAACATGAATTCAAAGAATAAACCTGGCTTTGCTATCAAACAACAGTTCATATATTGACACAGTCACACTGAATATTTAAAGTTCATATCATCTTGTTTTGTTAGAGTGCCATTGTATAAGTTCTCTTCTCTCTGGTAGGCGATAAATTTGGCTATATGTGCAGCCATCAGAGAACATTAAAAAAATATAGCAATGAAGTGTTTACAACGCTTTTATTCTTTCCCTGAAATGAGCATTGAGAATTGTAATAAGACGTTATTTGAATGACTAATGATGTGGATGGTGGGGAAGGGGTGGAGTGAAGAGCAAAGGGAAGGTTTCATTGTTTCATTGTCATCCTTCTGGTGTGGCGGATTTTGCCGCCACCCCCCCGGGGGGTGGGTCTCCCTCCCTCGGTATCTATCTATCAACTAATTTTGTGGTAAAATTGACAGTTTTGAACCCTTAAGCCCCATCTTTTTCAGTTTTATCAATTTTGGAGGAGAGACATATATGACATTAGACATCCAAACAAAGGAAAGGAAATTCATAATTTGGCCTCTAATCCTCTTTCCTTCCCTTTTTCTTCTGAGTCCAACAGAGTCCTTAAGAAACCAAAAGCATTTTTCCTTAAGAAACTAATATATTTTCTATATTCATTGCTTATCCTTCACATTCAGTTCCCCCCTTTATGAATGAAAAAGGTACATACGAGAAACCAAAGTGGTCCATTTTGCTTTCTCCTTATATTCTCTCTCAAAATATTTGGCTGTTCTGAAAATAATTTTGCAAAATTTATTTCTTTTAACATCATCGGTTTTTCTTGACAGATAATCTTGGAAATGCATGCCTTACTAGTTTTTTTGTCTCTGGAGCTTGGGATCATAGCAAACTTCAACATTCTGTAAAAGCATATCAAAATGCTGTGAGTATAAGTGAATGAACTGGTTCATTGTAGGCTTTTCTTTAATAATGCAGAAAACATAAAGTTTTGTTAATATATGCCAGGAGAAAGATGAAAGAATGAAGTCCAATCCTGATCTATATTTCAACAGTGCCATTGTAAGTTCCATGTCTCCTTTTTTGGAGTTCTTTGCTTGTGATTCTTTTTTCTTGATTTCCTTCACATTTTAAATTATTCACTATGTCTTTATTCTCAGCCTTTCTGAAACTTTTGCATGGTTTGTGGAATCTATAATAGTGAAGATATATTCCTGCAAAGCTCAACGTGATGCAATGCTTGTCTGGCCTGGTCTTTTTCTCTTTATCATAGCTTATAGTAACATTTGCTAACAATTGATGTTGATTGAACCCCAATTATCTACTATTCAAATAATGAATGACATAAATCGACACATGGAAGACTCTGCCCTCGTGTTTGATTTGACTTGTATGGAGGGAAAAGAGCAGAAAAAAATGCTTAACCATACACATTGAATTGGTTTTTTAAACCGATAATTATGCTTGATCCTTTCTCTGCCTTTTGCTTCTAGATCATACTATAACTTTTTCCATGTAATCGTCAGATAAATTTGGTCCCTGTCATTTATGTAGACAGTTTTGTGTAGTTCTTTTTATGTCCTGAAGTTTTGGTGTAATTATTCACTAAAAGGTTTCCCTCTTGCATGTTTATCCGCTTGTTATTGTTCTTTCTTCAAGGAAGGATTTTTTAGGCTTTTAATTAGGTGCACTCAGCATAGATTCTGTGAATATGTGCACAAGTGTGAGCCTACCCCAGTTTGGTAATGCCTTCTTGACAGATTCCAGCTCCCAAAATAATGGAGCAGGAAAACAGCTATGCCAGAATCATATGTACCACTTTCTTTACATATTTCACATTAATAGTGCTTAGTTTTGGCTTTTGCTTGTTAATTGTTATCCTGAATAATTTTGTTAGGTTAATAGATATCTAGAGCATTATGAGAGGGCCCTCAGTGGGTTCGAGGCTGCTGCTTTAAAGGACCCAAGTCTGAATGCTGCTGCAGAGGTTCAGAAGATAGTCAGCCTACTTGACAAGTTGGACAATCTTATGAGGGTAACAAATATTTTCCTTGGATGTAGGCTGTGAAATACCGTAGTGGTAACATAAAGCTAGTGATTTCTTGAACGCTAGTGTAGTCTTGAACGCTATATTTATTTGACTTATTTGGTTATTTGATTTCCCAGTATGATTTATATAATGCTAGAAACTGGTAGTTTCTTAAACCTTCAAGTCAATCCCCACTTGCACTCCCCTTCACGAAACAAGAAAGAAGATAGTGAATGATGGAAGTTAAGAAAATGTTTGATTTTAGTAATTAGTCAGCTATCAGAAGGCTTCTGTTTTATGTGAGATTTATATGCAGGGAGGACATTTAAAAGCTAAGCGAATGGCAAGTTTGGCCTCATCTTTAGCTGCTGTAGATTGTAAGCTACCTTCTGAACTATGAGTTTCAGTTCATATTCCCGTTAAATTTTGTTGACCTCCCTTGCGCCTCTTACTTTTTGATCTCGTATCTAATATGCTCATTGTATTCATGTCTTCCTCCTGTGAAAGTGAATCCATCATACAATAGAGCTACTATAGACCGTATGTTGGAGGGTCTGAACAGACAAGTAGCCATAGATGGGAAGGTATTATTCTTTGTTACGAATGACACTGTTGCTCCCCTGTAAGTTCTCAGATCCTGAGGATTATCTTTCATGTTTTGAATGTCTAAAGTGATTTAATTGCAAGATTATATATGTCAGAATTTTATTGCTTGCTATATTACGTCTATGCATTATATGTTTATTGAATTTTTTTAATTATTTTTTGTATATAGAATCTTTTTCCACTGTAGCTTTTGTGTTTTCTAGATTTTTTTTTTTAAAAATAATTTGGAGAAAGAAGGGAAAGTGGATAGGAAATCAGAATTTTCAGGAGTTTTATTTTTCAGAATGGTCTTCTCAAAGAAAGCAAGGACTAGTAAATAGAATTGCAAGTTTATGATAAACTAGATGTGGAGTCTTTGGTGAGGCATACGATTCATGACTTGTATATAGTGCAGCTTTGTATAGATTTCTTTTATATGTCTATACTCCTCTGGTCCTAAATATAGGACTCATTTTGTAGTGTAAAATTACCTAAATATAGGACCCATTTTGTAGTGTAAAATTACACTACAAAATCGGTCCTATATTTAGGATCAGAGGAGTATATTAATTTTGAGTTGGCAAAAAATTTATATATATTAATTTTGAGAGCCAATTAAGAAATTTGTATGCTAATTCTGATATCATATCTTTCATTTTCCTTTTATTCTGCAGATACTATTTGCTTTGTGATTCAAACCAAAATTGCTTTGTTCTTACAGTTTACGGTGTACGTATGGATGTGGTAAGAGTTAGTTGCTGCAGTTTTATTTTCTTCTCTTTCTAATGTATTTTAAGCATATTAGCCGTTGTACACTGTAAAATCTAACTTTTGTTTAGCAAAGAGATACTGCATGATATACTTTATAGTACACATTCTTCGGAGCCTAGCTGGCGTGCCAGACACACACAGACACGATGGAAATATGAAGTGCTTATCATAGTGTCTAATTGCTGTAGATCTGCATGGAATTTTATTAGATGATCTATAAGATCAAGAATGATTACGGACGAACCCTTTGTGTCAGAATTTTTTCCATTAATGTGAACATCATCTAAGCCCAAATCATGAGAAGAAAAGGAAAGAAAAAACTAAGCATCTATCCTGTTGATATCTTGCATCAATTGTGGAATTGATTGGTCCTTTTATCAGATCAAGGAAAGAGATCAGCTAACGCTACTTGATCCATATTTCCGTCATGTTGATTTTTCATGGAAGGAGAAGGTATGCTTATATATCCAATTCATGCTTGCTCTCTTTTGGATTTCCATTTGCCTGTTAAACTTGTCTTCATGGAACTCTCAACCTACTTATGTTCTAGTTATTGTATTAATCCAATGATTTCCTTATTCTCCAGTGTTCCATGTAATAAATCTAGTCATTCTGACAAGATATTCACTTTATGTTATCTGTGTGTATCTTAAATTAGCATTACCTGTTCAAATCTATACGCGTGGACTTCCCTGAGCAAGTACTCGTGAATGGAAAAGCTGTCACCCCTCAACAGGCTGTTCACTCATCAATACACGCACAACACAAACCTTGAGGGGAGACTCGTTAAGATGAGCTTTGCTTCCTTGGTTGTCTGGCGTGGTTTGGAATGGTGTATATTTCTTTTGTAAATACATTAAGGTGGTGTATTTACAGGTGGAATTTTCGCCCCAGTTCATGGGTTGGATTTACTATGGAGGGAGGTTTTGGTTTTGGTTTTGCATCTTTTTGGCCATTGAGTTCAGTAAATGCTTAGTACAGTAATTTGTTATTGATTTTGGCCATCACCTGAACATAGTTCTTAGAGGGCAGCTTTTGCTTGACTAGCTCACCAGCTTGTGCATTGTATTGTGGATAAAACCTGTATGTAAACTTCAAGAATGTAGTGCATGATATATGAAATATTTTTCTCAAAAGGAAATAATTGTTTTTTATAATTTTAATTTTTAAGTAAAAATAGAATGATTTAAGGAAAATAGATGAGTTCTATTGTCATCAACTTTTTTGTTAAATTACTACTGATACGTGTTCTAATCCAATGGACAACGTTACCTCGTTAACTAGTCTGAAATTAAATTGATCACAATTCAATGAATCTTTCTTTTAATCAAAATAAAACTTTTCTCTTTATTGAATTGGATCAAAAGATAGTGTTATTGAATTGGATCAAAAGATAGTGTGAAATGGCAATAAATATATGTGACTCGTACTCAATTATCATTGATCTTCGGATTTAACGAAGTTCTAGCTAGGAAAGAAACGAAAACTTATTTTCTAGCAAACATTAATGAACTGAGCCACAACACGCCGAATTCCCTATTACTTAATAAAGCTCATTAATTGTTGCACTTTATAACAAAAAGCATAACCAGTTTTAACTTCTTTGGATTCATGATATCTGGAAATTCAACTACTTTGTGAGTGAAGCGATCAAAAAGCTCATCAACAATTCCACCTCCAAAGTGCTGCTCAATCAAATCTCCCAAGAAAGCTCGTAACATGGAGACGAAGTTGGAGGCATTTGGGGCTTCATAAAATTCTTCAACTTTCAGTGTTTCCATCTGCTCAACACTGAAACTCTCATTCTTCTCCAGAATTTCCTTCAGATTCTTGGCAGGTGAATAAAAGAGAGGCACATTGAATGAGTCAACTTTTTCTTCACTCACTCGTCCCTGCATCATCAATGCCAACCAAAGTTATACTTTTCTTCTGAAAAAATTCAAACACACACACACACACACAGTTAAAGGTTTCTTGCCTCTTTAGTCATTTCCATGAGAGTAGATCCAAGAAGCTCATAAACCCTAGCAGGATGTATATCAGATTCGAGAATCACATCAGGCACAGTAGCGATCTGAAGCGCCATTAGTCCATTGCTCACAAGTTCTTGTGCTCTAGCGTGAAGGAAATTCTCAAAGTCAGTTCTGTACTGGGCTGCATACGCATCTTGTACTTCCTTCGGAGCATTTATGTAATGAATCCTTCCCTTGTTAAATGCACTAGAGCTTCTATCTGTAATCTCTTTAGGAACCCTAGAGAGCCAGTGAAGTGTTGAAGCTGAGTGAACAAAATGGAGAGTTTTCTTTGGGAATAAGCGTCCATGGAAAGAGCCAGGAACCCCAGAAGCAAAGTAGTTTCTGTTGGGAGGAAGCCGCTTGAAGAGTGTGTTGAAGTCATTTGAGACTTGATCGTTGAAGATGACTTGGAATTCTGGGATTTGCTGAGCAGAAAGTTTCTGCACTGTTTTGTAATATTGGTTTTCTATTGCTTCTGTTATGGTTTGCATTACAATAATGGTGTTAGGCCCAGTGGTGCATCCTAGGTCAGCAATACTGATGACATTTGTGGGTTCAACGCATGTCATAGGATCAAAGTTGTTGGCTATTGCGGCCTTAATCAGTCTTTTGTTAGCTTCAAAAACTCCTCCCTGCGAAAAAGATTATGCAGCAGTTAATTAAATGATAAGCATAATACTACATCCAATTCTTAATATGAGAGCTAGTTAGCTAATTTAAAGAGATTAAGGAAATTAGTTAGTTAGTTATATATAATAAATAGGTGTTGGCTTTCTTAAAATACCATGACTAATCATGTGTATTGGCTAGAATTACCATTTGATGAAACCTTTAACATATACAACTACTACAAAGATTATCTTGTGAAAAAATGAATAAATACTATAAAGTGGATTGTGGTTCTATATTTAGGACTAAATTGAATGTCAAACTAGCTTTTATATTAAGGATCAAAGTAATACTATAGAGATGAAATCTTGATATTCTATATATCAGAATGTGATGAGATTATCTTGCCGTAGATGCAGAACTATAGCTTATTGAAAGCAAAGAGACAAATGGTGTGTGTGTGTAGGTGTATATATACATGTAATACATGCATGTTTATGAATACCCGAAAGGAAGAATTTTGAGCGTAGCTGTGGCCTGTGAGGACCCTCTCCTCCTGTCATTGCAAATGATTGGTTCTCCATATCTATCTGCGTCGTTTTCTTCTTCTGGAAAGTTATTTTGTCAACCCCAGAAAGTTGCAAAACTACTAACAAAGAGTGTGTGTCTGTGTGTGATGCCGATTTATTCTGTATAGGAAAAGAAAGTTTCCTGAATATATAAGAACAAGTTGTAGAACTTGAGCTTTCCTATGGGTAATGCAAGAAACCGATGCATTTACACACACACACACACACACACACACACAAGTACAATCATTTTTTTGAAAGTGCAAGGGACGTCAGTATTGAAGGACAAGTCAAAATTCAAACCTTCAAAAAGCCAGTCGAGTGACTTGAATTTTGTTAGTATTTTACTTTTCAAAGAACTTGAGAGTTTTGTGGAGTTTATGGTAATCAATGACGTCAAGAATCTCTTCTGGCTTTGATCATCAACGACGTCGCTTGGATGCTACAACCTTTAACATTGAAACTCTGTATGAAGCGCAAATTCCTTAGTTCCCCAGCTTCTCCTCCTCCTCCTCCTTTTTTGTGCGTTTAAGAGGAGAAGAGGGTTAATTAATCTATAGCCGTCACTACTTCTCAATCATGCATCCTTCTAGTAATGTAATAGATCCCGATCCTTGTTTGAATTATCTTTTGCTTTTTTTTTTTCCCCTTATAGTTAAGAAACTAGTCAAGTTTAATATCATAAAAAGTAAAATTAAAGTTCAATTAATCTTATCTTTTAAACTGATATTCTATGTAACTATTAGGCTTAAATGATTATTAAGAATATATTCATTCAATATATTATACGTGCATTTTATAATTATTGAATCAAAAAATGAAATAAAAATAACAAGTAATTATAGATATAAATAAATCTTATATTTATAATTTTAATATATATAATATATAATTTTCATTTAAAAATAATTTCCATTCCCGAATCAATATAAAGTGGTTGATAACTTCGTGTCATTGCTTCATATATATCATTGTCCATTCAAATAGCTTTTATTCAAATGTTTACATTTATTTTATTTTAAAATAAATAGGATATGAAATTAATATAAAATTTTAACTATGAACTTAAAAAAATAATTTCCATTCAAAACATAAAAAATTAAAATTCAACAAATGAGGTTCAAGTAAAGTATCTGAAGAATTTAAGATCTGCGAAGATATAATTGAGCATAAAAGTCTATAAAACGTTTGACCAAGTCGAAAATGATAATTGCAAATTGAGAAAATTGGATATATATATATATATATATATATATATATATATATATAGATGCCGTCATTGATGATCGCAACCAGTTATTGTGTGACATCATTGATGAGCATAGCATGCTGCATTGCTTCCACACACCTTTCCAAAACCCAAGCTTCGCATCTTTGACTTTACTCTTCCCTCGTTATAATTCTGATTCTGAACTCTCTCTATACACAGATATTCTTAACACAAGCTTTTGATTGAACCCGTCTCTCTCTACATATCTATTCCATCTATATATATATGTGTGTGTGTGTGTGTGTGTATGCATATACTACCTTCCTGCATCAACCAAAAAGCTCACGAACTCATCATTATCCACTGAGGAAACTTGATTTCTACCGAATAAAGTGGTAAATTCTCTTCTTTAATTTCTTATTCATTGAGGAAACCAGCGTCGTCGAGAGAGAGAGAGAGAGAGAGAGAGAGAGAGATGGAGAATCTTTCTTTTGCTATGAATGGAGGAGAGGGTCCTCGCAGCTATGCTCTAAACTCTTCATTTCAGGTATGTATGTCTTAAACATAGCATAACTATATATACTCTTCCGGTCTTTAATATAAAACCTATTTAACTAATTTGATTAGACTAAGAAAATTAGGTAAGCTAGTTAATTATAAGAAATATGACATGTTTTTTTTTAAAACACCATAATCATTTTCTTTAGTATCCTATCTCTCTCTTCTAGTTGATTATGGTTGAGGGAGATCCATAGAGATAATTTAGGAAAAATTGATAAATATGAGAAATAATTTTTATATTTAAGATCAAAATCAGCTCAATAATTAGGTATTATATTAAGGACCATATGAGTACATATAGAGATATATGTATGGTTCCTAACATATGTCTTTCAATCTTAAAATTCATATAAACTTTGTCATCTATATAAATATATAACATAAGTAGTACACACCTTGAAGTATCCTCACGAAGTCAGTGATTGCTATGTTATTTGCAGAGAAGCGCGTTCGAAGCTCAAAAGAGGTTGATCGATGAGGCAATATCCGAAAACTTGGATCCCACCATGACCTTCACCTCTTCTAGCTCTAAAGACCTCATTACTATTGCAGACTTAGGCTGCTCAACAGGTCCTAATACTTTCATAGCAATGCATAGCATAACAGAAGCAATAAAAAACCATTACCGAAGACACAAGCTTCTTCCTGCTCATCAAACCTTAGAATTCCAAGTTTTCTTCAACGACCAAGTCTCAAATGACTTCAACACACTCTTCAAGAACCTTCCTCCTAACCGATCCTACTTTGCTTGTGGGGTTCCTGGTTCTTTCCGAGGACGTTTATTCCCAAATCAATCCCTTCACTTTGTGCATTCTGCTTCAACACTTCACTGGCTCTCTAGGGTTCCTAAGGACATTGTGGATAGAAGTTCCAGTGCTTGGAACAAAGGAAGGATTCATCACACGGATGCCCCAAAGGAAGTTGGTGAGGCCTACGAAGCTCAGTTTAAAGAGGATCTTGAGAACTTTTTGAATGCTAGAGCAGAAGAAGTTGTGGGAAATGGACTCATGGCTCTTCAGATACCTGCTGCACCAGATGTTGTTGCTGATGATAATAAGGAAATAGATCCTGGTAGAGTTTTTGAGCTTCTTGGATCTTCTCTCATAGACATGGCTAGAGTGGTAAGAATCAAGACATTAAACCTTATGAAATATTATTAAGCTTTGAGAATGACAAATGTTATGATATACATATTCAGGGAATTATGACAGAAGAAAAGGTTGACTCATTCAATTTGCCAATCTTTTACTCACCTGTTAAGGGCGTGAAGGCGATTCTCGAGGAAAACAAGTATTTCAGTGTTGAGAAAATGGAACCTCTGAACCTTGAGACCTTCTATGCGGCCCCAAATGTGTACACATTTGTTTCCCTTTATAGGGTTGTGATGGAAGATCTGATTAAGCAGCACTTTGGAGGCGCAATAGTTGATGAGCTTTTCGATCGCTTTACTCAGAAGGTTGTAGAATTCCCAGATATCATGAACCTTAGGAAGCTTAAAATAGTTATGCTTTTTGTGCTTCTTAAACGCAAGTTGTGAGCTATAAATATATATATACAAGTTGTGAGCTATAAATATATATATATAGTTTTGTGTTGATGAAGTTGAAAAGGATAAAGAAAATAAAGGATCGGACTTGCTGAGTTCAAGTAAGTTTTTCAAGAGTTGTTAATGTAATCAAATTATACATTCAATAAAATTTGATTAATAGATATTGACAAGAGAAGAGCACGGTCTAAAGTAACATTGAAGCTTCTCTGATACAACAAGACGTCTTAATTTGATCTTCACATGAAGATCATTATATAAATAGTTTCATTATGGAGCTCAAATCCATGTTGAGGAAAAAAAATGCATGCTTATCTATACTCTTGTTTTGTTTTATTTGAATCTTGTTGCAGGAAAAAAAATAAAGGACGTACGATTGCGAGTCACTAATTTGCCCAAAATCTAACATCGGTCTTACATTAGTAACTATATATAGTTACCATCTTTGTTGGAGATTGTGTCCTATACAAATCAATTAATTGGATGCATGCAGACATTTTATTTAATTGAACAAAAAAAAACTTTATTAAATTGTTTATTATAGTGCTTTGCATGCCTTTTTTGTAATAAAGATCCATAACTAATTAAATCTTATGAAATAAATAGTAGAATATAGAGGAAAAGTAGAGAATAAGAGAGTATATTTTATTCCATTCGTGGTACTCAACATATGATATAGACCCTCTATTTATAGGCATAACTTTACATATTCAATAGAATCTGCAGATTCCATAATAATAGGAGATAATTGTGGATAATGGAGATAATAGAAGATATTAAAGATAATAAGAGATAAGAGAGATAATGGTACATACATGAACATCTACAAAGATACTATATTCATAACATTCCCCATTGGATGTCCATAACTAAATATATGCCTCATTAAAAAACTTCTACTAAGAAAATCCTATGGAACAAAACCTAGCAGAAGAAAAAGAGTGTAACATTTATTGATATATTTCATAGTTGTGCCTCATTTAAAACCTTGCTAGGAAAACCCAATGGAAAAAACTATAGACAAGGAAAAAAAGAGTGTAGCATGTATTAACTCCTCCTCTTGACAATGTCATTTGATATCTCTAAGTCTGCGAAACCCAATGTCATGAACAAGTATCTCAAACGTGGTGGCTGGAAGTAATTTGGTGAATAAGTCTGCTAATTTTTTTACTAGAACAGATTTGCTGAATATTTTTGAAGGTCATGAGCGAAGAAGAATTTTGGGGAGATATGCTTTGTTCTATATTCTTTGATGTACCCTTCTTTTAATTGGATAATACATGTAGTATTATCTTCATATAAGATTGTGGGGTTCATTTTACCAGAAGATAAGCCACAAGTAGTTCTTATATGATATATTAAGGATCTTAACCATACACATTCCCGACTTCCTTCATGCATCAGTAGAATCTTTGCATAGTTGGATGATGTGACTGATATAGTTTATTTCATAGATCGCCATAAAATGGTTGTGCCACCACATATGAATAAATAGCTTGTTTGTCACTTACCAGTACGTGGGTCAGATCGAAATTGAGCATCTACATAGCCAACAAGATCAATCTTTGGTGCATTCAAGTAAAATAATCCTATGTTCATTGTACCCTTAAGATAACGAAGGATGTACTTAACTCCATTCCAATGCCTTCATGTTGGTAAAGAACTATATCTAGCTAATAAGTTAACTACAAATGATATATCAGGTTGCGTATTACTTGCAAGATACATTAGTGCTCCAATTACACTAAGATATAGTACTTTTTGATCAAATAGCTCTTCATCACCCTTATCTCTAGTTTCTCAAGATCTAAAAGGGTCCTTATCCACCTCCAAGGATCTTACAGCCATTAGAGTACATAATATATATGATTTATCCATATAAAAAATATTCTAGGATCTTTTTTGTATAAGTTTCTTGGTATACAAAGATTCTATTTTTCAGATACTCAATTTGTAATCTAAAACAAAATTTTGTCCTTCCTAGGTCCTTTATTTGAAATCATTTCTTTAGGCAATTCATTGCCTTTTCAAGCCCTTCTAGAGTTCCAATGATATTTATATCATCAACATAAATGACGATTATAACAAACTCATTTTCTGATCTTTTCATAAAAATGAATGGATATATTGCATTATTTTTATACCCTTCCTTCAAGAGATACTCACTAAGCTGGTTATACTACATGCGCCCTGATTGCTTTAATCCATATAGGGATTTATTTAACTTGATTGAATATTATTCTTGAGAGTTTGAATTATAAGCTTCTGGCAACTTCAGTTCTTCAGGGAGTCTCATATAAATATCACTATCAAGTAAGCCATATAAATAGGCTGTAATGACATCTATTAGATCCAAATTGAGCCCCTTATTTACTGTAAGGCTAATCAAGCATCAAAAAGTAGTTGTATTCACCACTGGTGAACATGTTTCTTCAAGATCAATACCAGGTCTTTGTGTAAACCCTTGAATAATAAGTCGTGCCTTATATCTTATGATTTCACCTTTTTCATTTCTCTTTCACGCAAAAAGCCATTTGTATCTAACTAGTTTTACATCTTCAGGTGTAAGGACTACTGGTCCAAAAATTTTTTGCTGTTCTAGCGATTTTAATTCTGCCCCAATTGCTTCTTTCCATTTTGACCAGTCATTTCTTTGTTTGCATTCACTAATTGACTTTGATTCATGATTCTCATTATCATTCATCACATCAAGCGCTACATATGAACAAAAGTGTCATCGATGTCAATTTTATTTCGGTCCCATGTATCCCGTTCATAACATAGTTTATTGAGATCTCATTATTTTACATATTTCAGGTACCTGACTTTCTTTGAACATCGGGACTTTAGCATTGTCTAGTGACTCTTCTGGAGTTGCTGACTTTTTTGGGTTATTCTCGATTAGGCCATCTACAATTTTAGCTCCTTTTTTCTTTTGATGGTTTTTATCTTTGAAACCGAGGCCTACCATGCTTCATGTGTGCTTTAGAATCATTCAAAATTGGCTGTCCATCAGGGACATCAATTTTGATAGGAGCATTAGCAACTGGAATATGTGATTTGTTACTCTCTTCGGGTAGTAAATGCGTCTAGCAATTGATTAGCCAAACTTTGCAAATGTATTATTTTTTGAACTTCTAGGTCACATTCTTTTGCGCGAGGATCAAGATGAGATAGTGATAATTATTTTCAACTAATGTCCTTTTCCAACTGCTTATTTTCTCCCCTAATTGTTGGGAAAACTGACTCATCAAAATGACAATCGGCAAATTGAGCCATGAACAAATCTCCTGTTGAGGGTTCTAGATACTTTATTATAGCAAGATATTCATATCCAACATAGATTCTCATTTTTCTTTGAAGACCCATCTTGGTATGTTGTGGTGGAGCAATTGGAACATATACAATACATCTAAAGGTTCTTAGATGGGAAATATTAGTTTCTTGACCAAAAACCATTTCTAAAGGGGAGGACTTAAAATAACTTGTTGGCTTAATACGAATTAACATTGCTGCATGCAAAATTGTATGTCCCCAAGTAGAAATCAAGAGATTTGATCTCATAAGTAATGGTTTCACAATTAATTATAAACATTTGATCAATGATTCTGTAAGTCCATTTTGTGTGTGCATATGAGCCACGAGATGTTCAACATCAATCCCAAGAGACATATAATAATCATCAAAAGCTTGGGAAGTAAATTTATCAACATTATCAAGACATATTTTCTTAATGGAAAATCAGGGAAATTGTTCTTAATCTAATTAATTGAGTCAGTAATCTTGCGAACGCTAGCTTGCGCGAAGATAATAAACAGACATGTGACTATCTTGTTGATACATCAATTAGAACCATAAAATACTGAAATGGTCTGCATGGTAGGTGTATCAATCCACAAATATCTCCCTGTATACGTTTTAAAAAAGTGAGAGGCGCACTTTCTAGTTTCCCTGATGGAATAATTATCTTTCCTTTGGAACATGCATTACATGAGAAAATATTGGATTGTGATATTTGTTGATTTTTCAATGAATATCCACATGAATTCTCAACTATTTTTTGCATCATAATCGTCCCGAGATGGCGTAATTGGTCATGCTAAACATTAAATTTGTTATCGTTTATAAACTTCTAGTTTACAATGGCATGAATTTTAATTGTACTAATAAACGTGTAGTACAAGGCAGAGGAAAATACGGGCAATCTTTCCGGTGTGCATTTCTTACTAGAGATTGACTTTGTAATAGCAAGATATTTTTTATTTTCTTTAGTTGTTGTTTTGATATGGTATCCATTCTTATGAATATCCTTAAAACTCAACAACTTTCTTTTAGACTTAGTTGAGTAAAATGTATTATCAATGCATAATATTGTTCCTCCAGGTAGAAATATATTGGTTCTTCTGGAGCCTTCAATCAACTTTGAACTTCCAAATATAGAATGAACATTAGCTTCTTGCATTACCAAATAAGAGAAATATTTCTCATTCTGAAGTATTGTGTGCATTGTTGCACTATCAATGAGACATAAGTCTTCATGATTGATGTCAATAGGAGCCATTCTTCATAGCAAAAGAAGAGAAAAAGAAAGAAGATTAATCATTTAATATTAATTTGGAAAGAACAAGTGTGTAACTTATTAATCATTTAATAATAATTTTGTAATAAACTTTACTAAGGCTGAAATAATAAAATCAGGTAACAATGATTAGATTATCTCAAATGCTCAACCATGGTGTGGCTGCCTATCTTTTTTTTTTTTGGGATAAATTTTGACTAAAACTATGGATTAATGCTCACTAGTTATTAATTTTTATTTTATTTTATTTTATTTTAGATAAAATACTAAAGCAAAAGAAAAGGAGAGAAGAAGAGAAAGTATATAAAATTAATGAAAACAAAATACTCATAACTTTTATTAATTTGAAAAGATAACAATATTGAAAGTGGAAATTTTATTAAGGAACGAGAAAGAAAAATACACTAAAACATAGATATTAGGGGGGGAAAACACAATTAGTCATAGAAATTGAACTCCACTAAGATAGATTTATTTTTTAACGATATTTCCATCACCAGTTAGGTGATCAATCCTTTTGTTAGGATCAGCAAAGAAATCAACAATATCTAGATAAGTGATATCCATGTTGCTGTACTCAGAATCGCCCTCTTCATCAACAAAATTTGTTTCTATCTTTGGCATTTTGTCATTGTTCTT